GATGGTTCAAAGGCCTGGTTTATAAGTCTTTGACAGGATAACTGTGCGTTCTGACAACTATCTTTCAATTTTATCATTTTCAATTTCTCGTTACCATAGCCAATGCATCAGAACTCCAGAAGAAACATTTTAAAGAATATATACTAGTATCTAACAGAACACTATTTTGTGAAATATCATTTTTTTATTTATTTTATGTTTCCTTCGAACTCAATGAGTATTTACCATAAGTTACAAAAAGGTCACGTCATGTAAAACAACTTAAGTCCTGCAAATGTATTAGGAACAAATGTTTTAGGAATTTTTGCTAGTAGGATTGGTGGAAAATGTCTGCTACATTGGTATGGGAGTATCACATGGGAAGGGAGTTGCGAATTCCTACAGGACTAGCAACGATTACAAACCGACTGTTAAACTGATTATTATTTTTCAAGACAAACTTGAAGAGGCCAGTACACTTGAAGCCTTCAGTGATTAGCTGGTTAATGAAAATGACCAAATGCTTTTGAATCATAATAAATTATCTTTTGCAGTTGGCATAAAAAATATATTTTGCAAATGGGAGAGTTCTACAGTGAAAACTCCTGCTGGTTGGCACCGAAAACTTTCAGAAATCTTGTAGTCTAAATTTTTTATAACTCCATAGCTGTTCTTTCACATTCAGATGTCAGATAAAAATAATCCCAAAAGAAAGTGATATTCATAACACAAATACTTACAAATGTCTTGGGTCTTTTTTTTTTATACCAGCATACCAATAGAGTCAAAGCAATTGAATGTCAAGTTGAGATATAATATTTGTACAGTTCTACAGGGAATAAATATCATCTCAGTAATTTGGTTAAGTGAGCAAATCAATTTAATCAGAATGCCATATTTTTTACATGAACTAGTATGAATATTGCCCAGAATATGGTCACAGCACTAGTCTGATGAGTTTTCATAGCAAAGTTTTATCAGATTTATTATACAATAACTTCACAGTCTGCTTAACATTGTACATAATATTATACCAGTAGTAGGACCACATTGGAATGGAGTCCAAGGACTTTTATGAGTAATCCTAGCATTTTGTTTCATTCCATAATCCCAAATAATCTTAGATCATCTACTCATTCAACTCGCGGGTATGTTTGTTTTCGTAATACCAGGAGTCATGATAAAGGGGCCAATCTCATTAAACCACTCTTCTTTGAAAAAGCTTTTGTCCTTCTCTTCACAAACTATTTGCACAGGAAAATGAAACTTAGATGACTTCAGGTAAATAAATACACTTCATTTAACATGCCCCCATCCAAACCCCAACTCCTCCAAAGTTGAAACCCAAGCACTTGTAAAACTTCCTCTATCTCTTCCTGAATTATTTAAAAAGAAAAGAAAATGAAGGTTTCCCTACATCAAGCTTTATTGAGTCATAACTAGCAGTCTCTGTAGCAGATAAATAAACCATCACCTCCTCCCCCCCCCCTCTCTACATCAGACCCTTATCATAGCAAACTTTATTACTAAATCTATGGTATTAACATACCAAGCATACCAAGATCCAGGTTATTTTACAAGTAATAGGGTCACTCAGTTTATTTATCTGACCTTGTTCTTCTCCGTTCCCCATTTTATACATATTCAATAATCTGACCTCCCTGTATCCATTCCTTGTTTTATACAAATCAATAACAAGATTAAATTTGTAAGCTGATAATCAGTTATTCATAACAATTTTTTTTATATAAATTATTTTGCACAGCCTAATTTAGAACAATCTGCTAAGGCTAATCTCCCCTTAGGATCATCTGCCCTTTTTCTTCTATATAAAATCAATAATAAGAGCATCATTCTATAAATGCTTTTTAAAAAGCCTGTAGACAAATGCAAAAAATGTCTTTTTTTATAATCTATGACACTTAAATTGTTCACTGTCCATCAATAAGACCTGTTTTCAAACCATTACTTGTCTACTCACTGCATGACATACTAAATTTTAGCCAAATCATGTACACATTTAAAATAAAGGAAAACGCATGACCATTTTTTATCAATTTCATCAATGATACAATGTAAAAATTGACCTGGCTGGCATAAAAAATTCTATTCAGAAAGGCTGTTTGTAGTTATGACTTATGTAGAATTAAGGGAAATGACTGGTGGAATAAATTGTCATATAACTGCATCGAGTGTATTTAGATCATGTTCAGTGCAGGAAATGTAAGTGCATTATTTATTGTGAGTGATAAATAATGAAAATTTCATCCATGTCTCATAATAGTTATGCCAAGCTACATCATTTCCTATCATGGCCTTGTGCAACTTGATCAGTAGTATTTTTATTAATAAATTTAATAAATATTTAATAATTTAATAAATAATTCTAGACAAATCAGCATTTGGAAACAAATGAAGTAATAACTGGACAAAAAGTAAGCAACTAACATTTTGCAACCAAATAAAAATCTTACAGCATCAAGCTTTGGGGTTTAAAATGCTGATGTGAGTCAACATTTTTTTTTAACAGTCAGTTAACCAGTAGGCATGCAGACCCTACCCAGAAAAATACGACACAGAATCGTCTCAATCAAAACAGTAGAAACCAATACATTTCCTACAGCATTGTTTAGCTAAAGTAAAGTGTTGGTTTTCTCAGGCATTGCTTAGATTTAATCAACAAATGGATGAAATTAGCCCATTCTTCAATAATTTAGGTCAGAATTTGGCATTAAACCTAACTGTCACATGTGACTAAGCAGAGCTTAATTGCAATTCCATATGATCCAGCTCGGCTCGGCTACCAATTGACTTGATGAAAAATGACATTTAGATCAGCCAGCACGACAAACTGTTCCCTCCCATAGGACATTAATTAGTTAATAATCACAGAATCAATGCTAAAAAAAAAAAAAAAAAACTTAATACATAATTTGCCTTAATTGTTGCTAGTATCACAATTTGATTGTTATGAAGATTAATGGGTCAGATACATCCATTTGAGATGATCTAGACAGGCTCAGATCCCCCCCCCCCCCCCCCCCCCCCCCCCAGTGTCCTTCACCAATTTAGCTCAAGTTATCCACCTGTATAGCCAGGAAAAATTTCATTCCAGAGCACGAGAACACAACCAGAGCACAATAGACAACCTTTAGGCATTTTGAATCTTGCTACTTTTTCCTTGACATTTTACATCTGGGTGCGTGAGGGTGTGAGCAATCAGCCGAAATGAACATGGGCATTAGATAATGAACCAGCCTCTGGGAAACATGCAACACACGTTTTACACGTTCGGTTCTCTTCTTTCTTAACCACTGATTGTGTCTGAAAAGCTATCTACTAGAAGCAAGCATTAATGCTAGTAAAGATGTCTCCTTTAACTTGAAAAACTGTGGATCAGGAATCCACCTTGGGAAGCCTAAGGCTAAACATATTCTAATTTCTCTTAAAACTGTATCATCAATTCTTTCCTTTGCACAAAAAAAAATGTCCTGTCAGAAATGAGATGTTTTCATACAAGAGCAAATTTTGTATTGAAAATCTTTCACACAATGTGCCATGATGATCACTTTACAGCATTACACCCAAGTCTGAATTTCAAATAATGAAATGAGCTACATAAAAACTTGATATCATTATTAAAACATCAAAGAGCATTATAATAACTACAGCTACAAAGCAATGGTATGGATTTATGCCTCCTGTAGCCATCCTCAACAATCTTGCCCTGACAGCCACAACACTGTGACAAATGCCGCTGCCTCAGTATTAATATGCACGCAATATGTATGTACGTGTATTATAACAAGACAACATGCTGAGAGATACAACGTGCACATGCTGATGTGCATGCAATATGCCTGCAGGCAGTGTCGGGTGTACCTGCAGATTATTCTGTCTGTGCCATCAACATCCCATTAAACCAGAGCCACAATTTAGTCTCTGGGGCCTGATTCACAAAAAGGGTAAGTTCAAGGGCTACAAAGCTTAGACTGCTAAATTTGGATAGTTAGCAGACTAGATGCAAAGCCCAGTTTTGTGTTTTCTGTCTAGTAAGAGCTTCTGAGACTGACGGGCTCCAATGTATTTCACATACATTAATAGGCTACTATAATTATACCGAGTATAAAAAGACAAAATTTTGTCCCTGATCATAACATTTCATTTTTAGCCTGGGGTCTCAATTCTAGTGCACGAACTTGTTTGGTATAATTTACATACTTTTACTTCTATTTGTGAGAAGACAATTGTCTTCCTAACCTCCCATCCCTCCTCCAGATACACACACCTCCAGTCTCCACGTGGACCTTGTTCTCAACAAAGAACCCAAGCTTTATACATGTTTACTGCTGTATGCACCCTTCCTTCTGAATATGACTTTTATTTTTTGGGTAGTTATATTGGTAAAAATACAATGGAATTTCTAGCCCAATAATATGAATTTAAGATGTCCATACTCTTTAACAAAAGCACCAAAACTCGACTCGTCTACATCAGGCTGCACAGCTCTGTGCTTTGTGTAAATTTCACTTTTCATTTTCATCAACATTGATGATCAAATGCTGACTTTACTATTTATACATAATCACCATTTTTTCCTCTGGGTCCTACAGAATCAGATCTGACTCTATTTAATTCATTTAGGGCAGCACATATATAAAACTATAATATTTAGGCAGCAGACTGGGAAACCTGTGCCAACCACTGACACGGCGTGTATTGACGGGAAGCATACCAGCAAGATATCTTTATAATAACACCACTATCGATCGGTTTTATACTCAGCCATTAGTACTGATGGAAATAAAGACTTGATACTCGAAAACAGACGCCCCTGACTCAAATGTCATAAGCTCTAAACGGGGAAGATTCACGCCCATTCCATGACCTAATTTTGGGGCAAAAGGTGGCCGCCATATTGAAATTGACAGGAAGTCAGAAGAGCCCGGTGGGTTGGTGAAAAATGCCCGACCCCCCTGCCTGGTTTAAATCGAAATAAATTAAATCGGTGGGTACGTTACCATTTCTGCTGATGTCCAGCTCTTGCAGATTGACCAAATTTGCGATGTCTGGTGGCAGCCTTCCGATCTCATTATCGCTGAGGCCGATTTTTCTTAACTGCGTAAGCCGATAAAATCCCTGAGAAAAGGTGAAAATGCAACAACCGGTTAGATACGCTTCGAAATCAGCCCGACACCCACCCCTTCTACACCCCATGAAAAATATCTTAAGGGAATAAAGATACACTACGTACCCTGGGTAAATCGCGAAGCTGGTTCGCATCGAGGAGAAGCTCCTCTAAGCTTCTTGTGTAGCGTAAAACATCATCGGGAACGGCGGTCAGGCTGCAATGGCGACGATCTATGTACTCGACCTGCCGATTGCACGCCCGAAAAAGCGGTATACATTTCAACATATTCGCCATGGGAGATAATTCCGCATTAGTTCAATATCTCTGCTGTCCTGCAATCACGATTAAAAAGATCCCGGCGTTGTCATGAGAGCGATAAAACCAATATAATCCAATGAATCAGAAATCTTCGGCCATTGAGTTTGAACACAAGAGCTAGTGCCCGTGACGTCATCGAGTTCCCAGGATGCCTTTCTCTTATTGTATGTTTAGTGCTGCGCTCTGGTGGTCATTAATGAAACCATCGCCTTTCTACAGAAAAATATACTTTTATTCTAAAGGACAACATTTATAATTTTAAATAATCGAAACAATATATATATATATATATATATATATATATATATATATATATATAAACTTTTAAGATTATTCATTTTACTAAAATATGATAGCAAAATTCATGATATATGTATACCTATTGAGACTTTATAGCCAATTAATGTTTGACTGCCGCGTTTTGTAAATATTAGAAGGACCCTTGCAATTTTTACATCAAAAGTTTATGCCGTCCATGATATAAAACTATAAAAGTACATGCAATATCAAAATAACAATCGACTATGTCATTTCATGTACGCCAGTGCACCTTTCACCGGGTCTTTGGCAAATTTCCCATTTACTGATTAAAAAATAAAGACCAACTCGGAGTTAAGCGTCATTATATGCATGTACAGGTATAAACATGTACGAAAGAGACCCTTGGTGCTAGTTATAGAAATATATAAAAACTTTGAACCCGAGAAAACGACGGCCAGCCTTTACCGCATAACAGACTGTCTCGACTCCTTTTATTTATTTATTTATTTATTTATTTATTTATTTATTTATTAAATAATTTATTCAACTATTTAATTATTATTATTATTATTATTATTATTATTATTATTATTATTATTATTATTATTTGCCGGGATGATTATGTCTGGTAAGCGGTCTAAAAGTAAAAGCAGTAGTTCGGTGTACGGTATCACGGTAACCTAACGTACATTAATACATGTACCACTTGTAAACGTATAATATTCATATCAATATACGTCCTTGCATTTATACGCTACAGTTTCTACATACAGTGTCAGTGACTTCGAATAAATTTAAACTAGCTGCAAAATGAAATGTGTTGGGGATGCAAAATGCGTTTTCACGTTACGTTTTTCCTTGCTTGCAAAATGGGTTGCGTAGCAATACGAAGCTCTAGCTCCTAACAGCGCCTACAAAGAGTGTTGGGTTGCATAATACGACTCTATGGCTCTCTCATTTACATGTGAAAATTTGTTTCTGTATTTAATTACTCGAATTTGAATTCTCACCCAGCTTTTCGGTCACCCAAGTTTCCCTTGATCAGCATGATAACATGTGTTAACCAAGATATCTAACATTTTAATTAGCAGCTACGAGTAGTTGTTTATCAGCATTTAAGATTAAGTGAGAGATAATGCATTGTCACCCGAGCGATAAATGCAGATACTGAGTACTCATTCAAATCATGCAAAGTGTTCCCTGTGACTCTTTGTTACGCTATCAGATTAAATGTTTATCTTAAACTATTCGGAAATTTTCTCAATTTATTTCAAGAGAACCCTTTTTTGGGAGACATTTATCTCATCTTGAGGCAATTCATATCCGGGATGGGTTAGTACAAAGTGCCCCCTTCCCCCTGCTTCGGAGATGCCCCTTCTAAATAAATAAATAAAGAAAGAAAGAAATAAATAAAGAAAAGAAAAAAATAGAAAGATAAATAAGTTGAAATGAGAAAAAAATCAAGCAATTTTCCGTTACAGTGCCTCACCAGTAGTATTAGTGTAAACTAGATGTAGCTCGATTGCCCCGCCACCCCCCCAAGCACCAACCCCTTTTATCAAAACATCGAATACGCCAGTGGAGAAAACGCGACCTATAAAACGTATTTTCTATGTCTACATTGCCTGCGAAGTTACATATCCTTCACAATCCAGACTCCCAAAACGATAAACCCACCAAAATGACTTAAAGAACGTTACAGGCCCGTAGCCAGCAAATTCAAAAGGGGGGTTCTTTTTCTGAAAAAGTGGACCTTTAACAATGAAACTTATGTATTCCTAGATAAAATTTTACCAAAAATGGACCTTTTCCTGACAAAAGGGGCGGTTCTTTCGACCCCCCCTGGCTACGGGCCTGCGTTACGTCCATATTTCATTCTGGAATTATTGAATTAAAATGGTATAAAACACCAACGGGCCGATCAACAACTCATGAATATGAAGAAAGTTTTCTTTTTCTTTTTTAGTCAAGGAAAATTTGATTTAGTTAGAAAATCACGGCTAGGATGCCTGTGGGAAAGGTCAGAAAAATACGTACAACCTGCGTGTTAATATAGTGAAGTAAGCCAAGTTCTCTTTAATTGAACAAAACTTCCTTTGTCGTACAAAGTAGGATATCAAACAGCGCATTGCAGGAAATTAAAACCTGTAATGAAGTGGTATAAATTTGATTAAAACCTGTGAAGTTAAAGCCCAACCCCCTCCACACACACACACACGCACACACACACACGCACACGCACGCACACGCGCACGCACACACACACACACGTATGGGCTACAATCCCGTGCCGCCATTTTTGTTTGAATATTTTAGTCATGGAGTTGTAAGCCACTAACTTCAATGATTCATTGAACAAAGGCATTATTTTGCCTTTTTAACGATAAAATCGTATCGAAGGCTTTTTAGAAAAATCCCTGGCAGGATTTTATAGTAGTCATTGGTGTCATTTAATTGGGTGCTCAGATAAAGGAGAAATTTGACAAACCGATCTTGCAACTTTTACCCCCAAATCGCAACTTGACGTCATCCGTAAAATGTAAAAAACAATCGAATTTAGTGAACACTGACTACCATCATTTGCACAAAACATGCACAAAAAGACAGTAATTTAGGAATATTTGTCAAACCCAGACAGTACCCTAAAGTATACAGGTATGTTGGTTGTGTTAGGCTGCGTTCACATGAAATATCTATTTTCTAAAAATCTAAAAATCTATTTGCGGTATCTTGTGATCACGGTCTGTGCCCTGAATACCCCACGGCGTAATTACGGGCAGCGCGAGCCAGTTACTTCCAAAGCTGTAATTAATTCTCGGCGCTGCCAGTAATTACGCCGCGGGGTATTCAGGGGCAGACCGTTATCACAAGATACCGCAAATAGATTTTTTAGAATTTTAGAAAATAGATTTTTCATGTGGCTATTATGATCCCATCCTTCCTCCTTGGATTCATTTCACCCTCTGTCAGTCTCACAGAGACTATTTTTCACTAGATATCCACGTGCATTTCTCTGGCTAACTAAGTGCACATTTTTGGTCATGTGTGGCTTTTTGCACATATGTTGTATTTCTCCACAGAATATATGGAATATAACAGTATATAAAAATCACTCTCCTCGGCCCCGGGAGAGGGTGCGGTAGAGAGTAGATGAATTTTAAGTGTGTGTGTGTGTGGGGGGGGGGGGGGGGGGGTATACCTTGCTTTGGCCTAAAATCATAATTTTGGATTTTTTCACTTTTCCTCAGTGTGAACGTGTTTATACTGTTTAACATCTATTATAAAGAAATGCTATCAACTCGCTTAAAATAACCCTTTTTATCACATGGTTTATATGACGAGGTCCCACACGGGAAGTCTGTAACAGATAATTTTTTTACGCAGGGGAAGGAAATTAAAGTGTACATCAATTTAATCAGAAGTCCTCAATAACTGTACAGGTTAGAGAGAGAGCAGGGAATAATATCCGATATAATTCCCTGGAGAGAGCAACTGAACATTCTGACTTGGCAGTGGCAGAGAAATTTCGCCCGACATTTCAATTAGCGATTTCTTCGTTTCGAAATCATGGAATATCTTTACGTAGATGGGGTAACCTTGACACTCTTTGCCGAAAGCCGCTTGTGCTTTCATAAATTGCATTCTCAAGAATATGATTCTTTCAAAACGTAATTATTTGCATCTGGAACTTCATTATGCTGTTAATGGGGCAAATTCCAGGAGGGATACAGTTTTGAAAAAGTCAACTTACATGTACATAAAATCTGTCGACCCCAGGGGCGGATCCAGGATTACCTGAAAGGGGGGTCCGGAATGACAGGCCTCAGATGCGAAGCTGGCCATGGCCCCCTTGGCGTGGGGTTCGAGGCCTGCTCAAGGGCCCTAAATTTTTTTGGTGCTTTGGAGGGCAAACGGTGCCCTTTGGTACGGTTTAAAACTATGTTTCAGCTAGTCAAAATTTTAATTTCAAGAGGGAAATATTAGTGTGATATATTTTTCAGAAGGGGGGGGTCAGGACCCCCCTGACCCTGGCATCTTCCTGATCAATCCCTGGCATCGCTCTGATCAATCCCTGGCATCGTCCTGATCAATCCCTGGCATCGTCCTGATCAATCGCTGGCATCGCCCTGATCAATTCCTGGCATCGTCCTGATCAATCGCTGGCATCGCCGTGATCAATCCCTGGCATCGTCCTGATCAATCGCTGGCATCGCCGTGATCAATCCCTGGCATCGCCCTCATTTCGAGTTTCCACTGAAAAATGAAACACATGTAACGCATGATTCTTGTGCATATTCTTTTTTTTTTAATATTGATGAAAAACAGACATATAAATGAGGAAAAAACTTTCAAACTAACACAAATCTTGCGCTATGAACAAAAACATACGGGAAAGACGAGCAGGCGTCTGTCATATTAGTAATTTAACTATATCTGTTCATTATATAAAGATATATATTTGCTCATTCACAAACTGGCAACAATTAAAAATTAGGGAATGGCAATGCACCAAATGTATTGTTGTTAGTAAATTATAATGTACATGGTCGTGATAATCTATGTACCAGTATAGAAATAAATTGAATTGAAATTGAATTGAATATTTAAAAGGCATTTTTGTACTATTTCCCCGAGCCTAACACCCCATTTCCATAGATTAGATCGACCTACTTTAGATCGACCTAACTCCCTGGGGGTTCACGCTAAATAGCTGTCAGCCGGGCGGACACGAAAGTTAATTACCCCCTTACAGCTTGTAGTAGGCGGGACGGACATTTAAGTCAGATTATCTGAAAGTAATCTAGTGAGACTCCCCGCGGGGATAGATCGATCTAAAATCTATGGGAATAGAGCAGTTCACTTGTCCTGCTCTTTGTTTCTGAAAAAGAGAGGAAAACTTTGATGAATTAAAAAAAAAAGAGTGTAAAGTACATGTAAAGGGAACAGTAGAGAAATTTTCCTACATCTAAAACAACGCTGCAGTTCATGGTGGTTTTTGTTATAAATGTTATTGCTACATTTCACCTTATTACCTTACCTTACGTATTACATTACCCCAATGTTATTCTGTTGTAAACTTATGTGTATGTGGGATAAAGCATTTTTGTGTTTCGACAAGCTTCTTTTCAGACGTTGAAGAAGTCAGACCTGTAGCTTTCAGTTTGTGATATAGTTTTACCGTATACCACCAGTAATGACTCTATGGAACTTTTGCTAAAATTCCCTGCGAAAGTTTGTCTCATTTACCGCTCACTTACGGTGCTCAGTCTGTCCTGGAGCATAATGTTTTTCTCTTTTAATGAAAAAATGTTCTTAATCTGTTCTAGGACATTCTGAAGGACTTCCCCAAAATAGTTCTCGAACTGTTACATTCATTACAGAACAACATTAGAACTGTAAAAAAAAAAAAAAAAAAAAAAAATATATACACCAGATGTTCTAGAATAGATTAAGAACCGTAAGTGAACGTTAAATGAGACACATTTTCGCAGGGGATGTCCAAAAAATACCACAACTTTATTAATACCCAGTACTCCAACTCAATTAAGTTACCATTTCAAAACGCCCAAATGAATTGACATTGGAAGATATTTTATATGTACGGGGCTGCATACACTAAGCCCAGTGTTTATGGCTGCTTGAATAAAAAAGTGCAAACATCAAAACCATCCGTCTACTTTGCTTACTGATAATCTAGTGACGCAGAAAGTGGCAGAGAGTATTTTTGCGATAACAACTTAAGGTCTATTTATTTTCCAGTAGCTCGGAGTCGTTACGCATATAATTAAATCAATAAACAAGACGATTTTATTTGCCTTGTTATGTATCTATGACTGGTTTCATGTTTCTATCGCGTTCTTTTTAGATGAAGTAACACACCAATTTATTTTTGGGAAAAAAATAGGCCCGCCGTTCCACGAACTAGAGGGAGCCGAGGCAATGTGTGGACGGTTGCATATAGTCCCATTCACCTTTTTAAAACACGTGATATGTGCAAGAAATATCATGGAGGGGAGGGGGGGTCCTTGTCCATTTCTGTCAGCGAAATGTATACTCATTGACTTTTTACTATATGATTATCCCGTCCCACTTGAAAATCGCTCTCACCTCGTCTGCATTACATCACGTCGAGACAGAGGCGGCGAGATAGTAGCGACATGATAAGTCACACCAATCGGCAATCCTCGGCTCATTCCGCAAGCTCCATTGTCGAGTGCGGAGACATCCGAGTAGTTCCGAGTGAAGTCACACTGTACAAATTTCGGCTTAAGCGACACTGGCGTTTTTTTTCTTTAATATTGAAACGCAACTAGGAGTTGTTAACTTTTGGATATCAGTATAGATAACTAAATGAAGCAGGAGGGAAAGACTCGATCATGGTGGTACGTGCTGTTCACTGTGAATCAGCATCAGAATAATTTCTCCTCGTCATTAAATATATATGGCATAGAAAACAAGTGAACTTACATGTATGTGCACGAATTTTTTTTAATCCCCGGATGGACGTGCAATCACATTAGGATGGGACAGACCCGTTAAGACGGGCCATAAATCGTAAAATGTCAACTTCACCTAGTTTTTCGATGAAACAAGACAAAAAAATGATCCTACTAGCGCAATCCAAAGTTGCAAAACATGAATGTAATTATTAGATTTTTAAATTAAATTATATATTTATTCACAACAGCAGATAACACACAAGAAAGGCCCACACTGTAAGAGTGCAGTCGGAGCGCACCAGGCAGTTACCGATCTCTTTGAATAAGTGTAAACGTGACTCTGAATGACGCGACCAAAAATCACAAGATAATGAAAAAATACCGACATGCAATGCATTACCACTATATCTCAATGACCCATTTTACACCCGATTAATATGTTCTAAACAAATAAGTAAACTAGATCATATCCTAAAAGTTGCATGACCTAGTTTCGTATTTGTTAGAGCAAAGGGATACTTGGTCGGAATAAGCAAATGTTTTTGTTGTAGGGCGTTGAAAAAGCATTCCCTTTGCTATTCACCTGAGGGAGTTCACGAGCATTCACGTGACTTGAGGTGGTGTTGGCATAACACAGCAAGGAAACAAGGTAAAAAATTACTTCCTTGTTCGAGTGACCTTAAAACATATAGAAACATGCAGCTCGGTTTGAAAGGAAGTGAACCAAAACACAAGCCTAAATGGTAGACTACCCCTATATCTCTTCTGCGTCGAAGCAGGAAAGTTTCGTGCACGGAAATCAGTAACTAAGGCGGGAAGGAACTACGCACAAGTTTGAAGTGGTTTTCAGTAGTTATACAGATCTGTCTGTCTTCGGCTTTCGATTCTCCTGAAGAAGACATAGAATTCGATCAAGTCGCTGAAGTTTCTTTTGATTCAGGGCAGCAACGATATACTTGTAAGTAATTGCTGTTTTTTAAGTGCAAGTGGTTGTATATATTTGTACGCACTGTGTTACTGCAAGAGTGCAAATCTGTATTTCGAGAAGCATAATTGTGTCATACAGACATCAGGCGGCGCACTCGAGGACAAGCAAACTCATGTCGGGGCACAGGGACGGTAAAATCGTGCCTTTTTCACATGTTGTCGCTTTTTGACTGTCTTGGGGAGGGAAAGAGGGAGAAGGGAAGATGGGAGTAATTTCTGAAGCTAGGAGAGTGGATAAGAAGAGGCCGGGTGGGGCGGGGGGTGATCTGGATCCGCCATTGATGCATGTGAACTTTTTGTACGGAGTACATTACAGCGACAGGGCTAAAGTCCACTTCCTTCTCTAATAAACTGATTAATGTGGAGACTCATAATTTAGGACCAGGGGCGATAAGAAACTTTTATTATTATATTTTTTGTTTTGTTTTTGTGTCAATCTTTTAATTTAATCTCTTACTCCTACTGTTCGTCAGAATAAAAGGCTTACATATTGTAACAAAATAGGCCTGCTATACCACCATATCAAATATCAAATCAATTCTCTCTCTGTAGTTTACGCAGTGGTACGTGCCAGTGATGATGTACAAAGCATTTTAGGGACCATCCACTAACTGTGGATCAACCTATCTCTGAGGGGATTCTCGCTAAATTGCTTTCAGCTTAAGCGGCTTAGATGTCTGGCACGCCTACTGAAGCTGCTAATCGATAATTAATTACCCACTATCAGCTTCAGTAGGCGTGGCAGACATCCAAGCCGCTTAAGCTGAAAGCAATTTATCGAGAATCCCCTTGGAGATTGATCGATCCATAGTTAGTATGATAGGGTCTGGGGATGACCCCTTAGATATAGCGCACATTCAGAACAGCGGACAAACAGATCCGTGGATCAAATATGGCGGCCCATTAAAAAGCATGCCGCTTAATTCCCTATTAGGCACTGAATAGATTCCCCGCAGGGAATACGCAACAAGCATTCAAGTGCTGGGACATATTTGATCCGCGGATCTGTAAGTCCGTTGTTCTGAATGCTCTAATAACAAAAATATTATTTAAACAATGCATTAAGTACTTGTGTAATGGTGTGCATAGAAATAATAAGTGATAAATAGATTAAGTCAAGTAATGGAAAACATGCATGGAGTGAACACTCAGACACAAAGACACGAGGAGTGATATAGCATAAAAAGAAGTCTGCATAATTAGGTCTCACGACCTCGGGAACCTCATCTTAAGTACTTAGCAAGTGCTGTCATATGCATATCGTTTTTATTGTTCACCAGGGCAACGAATGTATGCAATTCTTTGCTGCTCAAATGCTGAATTTGCCTCCATTTTCATAAATGTGCCTATTTTAATGCTGAAATGCTCAAAGTTTTTGCAATTTCTTTTGTGCAATGGACAGGGATTAATCCTCAGGTCGGTATAAAGATGGCAAACTATCAAGTAAGTAGGTTTGGACTACATGTACTATTTCCTGAGTGCGACAGTTATTACAAATCCTGTCTGCTTTTGCCACTTTTTCATGCCTACCCATTTCAATGCCTATATTAGTCGTGTGTTCTCTTATGCGGAATTTAGGCAGTCTGTATCAATTAGCTAGCCTTTTCATAGTTTTCCTTAAATTGACGTTCGGCTTAAAAGGCTTTCAGTTTGTATTTAGTGGTAGCTATGTCACCATGCATTTCCCGATTATCTCTCTGCTACAGACAGCTCAAAGTAACCCTTATCTTAATCCGGATGCAAATATAAGAACTTCCCTATTTTATGCAATTTTAACATTGTTAAATGATATACGTGATCAGTTTTTTAAAAATTTATTTCCTCCTAAGTGTGCTATAAAAAAGACCTTTGTAAAAAGACAGTGAAAACTCTCTTTTGTATTCCTCGAGCGTTCTTCGTGGCCACAGAAACTCGGTAAATACTAAAGTATTCCGTGAAGTTCCGAAATGGACCTTTTTTTAAAGTTTTATTTCTATTTCATCTACATAAACAGAAAGATCCAGTTTTATTGTTGATTTAAAGGTGCACAGTGTAACTTATTTCCCCCTTTTTTCTCTAGGTTACTAGGTTATTTTTCTCTGCTGAACCAACCGTGATCCTCCTTTACTGGGCACCTGCCATAACTTTGTAAGAATCTGGGAAAATAAAAAAGTCCTGTTCTCACGCTAACTCTCAGGCATGGGGTTTTCAATTCCCGCCCTCCCTTTGACTTTATTTCTCGCACTGACATCCGGGTTGCGCGCGATTCAAAACTGTGTCAAGTTGATTTACAAGTGCCCAGGAAGTGAAAAATAAGATTTATATGGCAACACTTATTCCTTTATCTGTAGTAAATTTACCATAAAGGATCACTTGTCCTCACACAAGTTCAACAAGAATTGGTTTGTAAATATGTATACATGCATAAATTGTACTTGACATATGTTGAAACTCTAAGGCTTTGTCACTCAAAATATTTTCAAACCTGTCATCGGAAAGATTACATGTTTGATCCGTACCCTAAGCCTTCTACTAGCTAATTCAGACCTCAAATGATCTGTTAAATCAACAAAAGCCAGCAGTACATGATGACAGCAATTTCGATAAGGCCGAACAACATGGATACGGTAATGAACTGAGGCGACCATCCCTAATTTTGAGGAAATCAAATTTTATTTACTTTTAATGGAAATTAATCATTGGGTATTAGTTTGGTATTAAGTGGTATAATTTCCAATTGACCAACGTAAATTTGAAGTTTTGTAAAAGGTTACTCATGGCTTCAGATTATGCAAGTACAGCGGCAAGTGGCAATATTAAGGGAGCATTCACATTGAGAAAATCCGAGGTTTAGCAAGTCCGAGACCTAAATATGGCGGACATAATGGAAGGAAGACCGCGTAATCTTTAAATGGTCTCTCAATGAATGTCACTATTAAAGAATTACGCGGTCTTCCTTTCATGTAGGTCCGCCATATTTAGGTCTCGGCCTTGCTAGACCTCAGCTCTTCTCGATGTGAATGCTCTCTAGATGACTGTGGACGGTATCCGATGTAGATTATCACACAAAATGTATTAAGTATTGGTTTAGACTTTTGCACATGGATACAGATAGACTTCCAAGGGCATATTATAATCTTATGTTAGAGTTTGACAACAATTGTAGGAAAACATGGGCAAGTAATATCAAGTAACTGGGGGGGCAAGTAATATCAAGTAACTAGGGGGGGGCAAGTAATATCAAGTAACTAGGGAGGGCAAGTAATATCAAGTAACTGATTTGCAAGTTAAAAAGGGACGCTATAACAGCACAGAGGCAGAAAATAGATTATGCATCGCTTGTTTTTCAAAAGGATATAGTTATATCTAAAACGGGATTCATGTCCTGCAAGATTGTGTTTACATACAGACTTAAAAAAATACCAGACATACAAACAAATAACAGACGCTTTTTCTTCGCGAAACAGTGACTTCATAAAAAGATTGGCAGCTTACTTATATATAATGAAGAACCTTTGTTACTTTAATTATATTTCCATCCTATAAAATAATGTGTTGAAGTATGTACTCTGGGTCTATAAGCCTGACTTACGAAATAACTAAACTTGAAACTTGGATAGCGCTGCGGTATCTGTAGGTAAAGTGCTGTTTCCCTAGCGCTAGATATTGTTTTATTAGTAGATAGCAGTGCTATCCAGTGGTTAAAAATGGCTGCTATCCTCATGATAACTGCACATAGGATAACACTTTTATCTAATGGACAGTGATACCGTAAGAGCGCATTCAGAAAAGCGGACTAACAGATCCGCGGATCAAATATGGCCGACCCACTTGAATGCGTGTTGCGTAATTCCCACAGGGAATCTATTCAGTGTCTTATCGGGAATCAAGCAGCAAGCTTTTTAGTCGGTCGCCATATTGATCCGCGGATCTGTTTGTCCGCTGTTCTGAATGCGGTTTAAGATAGTGCTATCCAGTGTTAATGAACTGGACCCATTATTACCTCCGCCAAGGAGGTTATGTTTTCACCCCTGTTTGTTTGTCTATCTTTCTTTCTGTCTGTCTGTCTGTCATCAACATAACTCAAAAAGTTATGGGCCGATTTTGATGAAATTTTCAGGAACTGTCAGAAGTGGGCCAAGGAACAGATGATTTTGGTGGTGATCCGAATTAATAATCAAAAATATCGAAAATTTAAGGGTGAAACGGCATTGGATGGAGACTTTGCTGTCTTGGCGGAGGTCTGCGCTCTCTGAGAGCCTTTTTTAGTTTTAAAGAACTATCTCCCCCTTTAACCAACTTATTAATTTTTTCTGGCCTCAAGAAATGTTTTGACGTCTATCATTTGGCATACGTGTAGAAATGTCCGTAGCCGCGTTCAGACCATAATTACACGTGCTTTCGACCGTATTGGTCGAGTGTTTAAAGTGTTACATGTATTTTTCTTTAAACAAAAGTGACCCTCTAAGTCATGCCAGTGACTGTTGCAGAACTGTTTTATATAACCTTTTTTTATTATACTGTTTTTTTTTTCTTTCACGTTAGAGGGGGCTTGGGTACAAACATCAAAAATAATGCGGCAAGTCTGAATCATAGGAAGTGTGTCACAAAATGCGAATTTCGTGACTCAGAGTCACTTTTATGGCATTTCACAATGATGAAATGTTCAGGCCCCGGTTTCTCACACACACACACACACACACACACACAAAAAAAAAAAAAAAAACTTAATTCATTTCCCTAGCTTAGTTGACTAAGACTTCCATGAGAGTGCTATTACACTGATCATGCGCATGTGACCATGTAACCCTTGTAATTAAGTTCTTATTTAGCCAGGGAACTTGACTTAAGTTTTTTTTTGTGAAACCGGGGCCAGGGCCTGGAATGGCTAATTCAAAAAGCTTGTTGAGGGGGGGGGGTGTTCGGAATATACTTAACTTCACAGTAGGTGCAGTGAATCATCCTCAACATCTGGCCAATGACGTAATCTGATTCAGATAAGGCCACACTTTTTTATTTTTATGGATGACATCCTCTGGGTACCCCAAAATCGGTGCGAGAGGGCGAAAAAAAAAACGGTCAAAAAAAAAAAAAAATACTGCTTAAGTAAAGGAATGCTGTCAGTACACAGCTGGAAACACAAATTTTACCACAGAAACACGTATCAAACTAACAATATGTCTTTATCCATGCTCTCAAAATATTAAAGCATTGTGAATACTTCGTAGAAATGTAAAAAAAAGTCATGGATAGATATACTTTTTATTACAAAATCTATTAAGGTTATTTCATNGGGGGGGGTGTTCGGAATATGCTTAGCTTCACAGTAGGTGCAGTGAATCATCCTCAACTTCTGGCCAATGACGTAATCTGATTCAGATAACCGATCGAAACTAGTCCTTGTCCGAACCGATTTCAACATGAATCTAATAACAAACGTGCATAAACGAAAACAATGGAAGGGCAACGTATCTTTTTCATTTGCAGTTTGTGATAGAATGTAGTTGTTATATTCGATAAAATTGATAACATTGTGCGTTGTAGACAGCCTGACCTACTTAACATTATCACGATATGCCAACCTGATATTCAAATATAACCCAGTACGCGGCACCGTCCCGTAACTCACGTTTTTGTAAAGAAGCAGGGCTGTTGTCCTTAAGGGAAAACAGCTGTTCTTTTTGAAAAAAAAAAAAAAAAAAAAAAACGGATTTTCCTGGGGCAAACGACAATTTTCCCATAATGTCCAATGGTTAATGATTGCATTCTTACATTCAAAGTTAGTCCATGTTTTTTTTTTCACTAATCCCTCAAGAGTTATACTTATTAATGACGGTCTACGTGGTTTGACGGCAAAAGCACAAATCCCAGAATAATTGCAATAACCACCGTTTTGGTGGTAAAATAGAATTTGTTATATTTCTGTGAGTTTTTTACAATGTATTTATTGTGAAAAATGGATCTCATGCGAAAAGTTGTTATCACTTTAACTGAGGGTAGTTGCCATGGTGCTGGGTCTGACGTGTCCCCATATCATATCAGTAAGGTCGATACGCACGTTTCACGTCGCCCTGGTTGGGCTCGGATTATACTGGGGGGAGGTCAATGATAGAAATTGTGAAACACATTTCGAAAGCAATTTTGCTATAATATATAGAGCACAGGGAAGGAAAATTTTGTCCTGTTTTGTTAGTTATACATTTTGTGTGTGTTTGTGTTTATTGGAGTTGAGGGTGTAATTCAACAGCTGAGGGAAGGTTCGTGCCCCCCCCCCCTCCTCCCCCGGATCCGCTACTGTGTTTATGGGCGTTGGTAAAAGTTTTCGGGACTGTACCTGATTTCATTTTGATCATTTTTTCATTTGGACTAAATTTGATGAGAAATTGCAAGCAACATTTTCAGGATTTTAAGTTTTTACAACTTTCTCCCATGAATGTGTCATTGCATGCCGTACTCAATAGAGCATACCGAGGCTGTGATTGGCACTCCACTCTATATAAAGGGAAGTCGGACTGATTGCCGCCTACTCGAAAAACACTGTGGCTAACCTCATTCATCTGGATTACGGTTAGTTCTGGTGGCTTGCAGTGACAACATTTTCTCTTCTCGTGTCCACCATTGGCCGGACGATAAATGAAGTGACCAAGCATATCCTGCGTTAACCAATCACGGTATCGTTATACGCCGGAATACATTGCCTCGCTCATAAAGCCTCAGACGGCTCATGAATGGAGTTTACACCCACTTTCGCCTTAGGCAAACCGAATGGATTCTCTATGCATTTATGGTAGAAAAATGCCCCGCTGTAAGGTGATTATGTGCTGCAATAGTATGTATTGAGTATGTTGTGCACGCTTATAGTTCCCGCGCGACAGCAGTTGTCACGTGATATAAGACCTAACTTTGAGCGGGAGAGTTTATATGTACAATTCAAAGCGTGCAATGAATATGATAATTTATTAAGCTCCTAGTGATACATATGTGAATCATTAGTAGGTTCCCTGTACAATACTTAATATAAGTTTACAAAAAAAGATACCTAATAGTTAATTCTATTCCAGGTATATCTACTCTGTACAGTGTAATATATATATATATATATATATATATATATATATATATATATATATATATATATATATATATATATATATCCGGCACAATCTTACTCCTTCGGTACACTTTATTGAAGTGCTATGTCCTACATGTGATGATGACTCTTTATTTATTATCTAATTAGGCTTTTGGGAAGTATAACTAAGTTTCTTTTAAAGAAAATGTGAATTTATATCTATGAAATTTTGCCATTTCCCCCTTAACCCCTTTCATTAATAATTTCTTATCTGTAATGCTTCCCCTGAAGGTAATGTGATCTATGGCTTCCTTTTTTAAACATATCTGAAATGTGCCCCGCCCAGTTTGACTCTTTCAGCCGGTGATGCACTGGTTTAGGGGGGTTGTTTTATTATGTGTTTAATGTTTCTTTTTATATCTGAACAGGATTTTAAAATTCTACAAAAATCATAACAAATGGCCACGAAGAATTGATTATGAAAAAGTGTAAAGTGACGAGAGTTATAAGATGACTCATTTGTTTGACGAGGAAGAAATTCTGATTGACTTTCCGCCTTGTTCAAATACAGTTATCTCGAACGATCTTTCTTCTATGATCAACACAGCTTACAAGGCCATTATCGATCGCCGTTTGAATAAATTTGAAACTAGACCCCCAGGCCTTGAGAAGGAAGCAATAGAAAGGAAGGACTTTCAAGCTGGCATTGACAAAAATGTGGAAGATTTAGAATATTTGACGCGGGATTTGGCACCAACTACCGGTATTGAACAAGACATGAAACAAACCTCTTCCTCCATTACTAAAAACCTGAGAATGTCAAACAAGAAATTCACTTCGCCTCCACAAAATATGCATGTACAAGGCAAACGCCTCTGGAGAGAAAATTTCCTTCTCCAAAATGATCATCAGTTGCGATTTTCGGACAGTAACAATGCGGGCAAGGGCCAAGATGCATACCTACATTTAAAGCCGCCATCGCCAACAAACAGAATGGGGACCCCCACCCCGCCACGGACCAATTCGGACCATCCTCATCATTCCTTTCTACAGCCACCGTCAACAAACAGAATGCGGACCTCCACCCCGACACGGACCAATTCGGACCATTCTAATTATTCCTTTGTGCAGCCACCGCCAACAAACAGAATGCGGACCTCCACCCCGCCACGGATCAATTCGGACCATCCTAATCATTCCTTTGGGCAGCCACCGTCAACAAACAGAATGCGGACCTC